CTTGTTCATTTAACGAGATTTTCAACCATGTAGGTACAAAGCTCCATCTTAGTACCAGAACGATTGCATATTACAAATTACAGTACATTTCTGTTATTTTAAGCACCACTCAAGATTTACTCGTCAAAACACATTCACACAATTGGTGCTTCTCTTAAATTCAGCCTCAACACCCTTCTTTCACTCAGTACTTCCTGGACCCCATTCAACCAGTTCAAACTAATTTTTTTTTAAATTAGAATAACCTGTATTAATAAATAGGTTTCAAGAAAAATACCAGTGAAAATGATTTCCAAACGTATCTGATCAATTGTAGTTTTTTTACATACCTACTCAGAGTACTGTACACCATGTAGATGATTTGCACTATTGTTTGTTCTATGTTCATTCTGTTACAAGTTACTAAACAATATCACAAATTGGAAGAACAAGTAGTATTTAGAAGTTATGTTTTTTTTTATATACTAAATGTTATTCTTTTGAAATTTCAAAACATTTGGCTGATGTAAATTTGAACTTGACATTAGAAGCTTTCAAGTCTAAAGAGTTAATCCACAAAAAGTTCAAGCAAAACGTAATTGTCAATTTTAGGATTTAAGGATTTTAAAACTAATAGTAAAGCTCTCCTTGACTGTTGTTAATATACACCAAATCAAGGACAGACAGTAACTTTCAATAAACCTACTTTCACAAAGGTATGCAAAATTCTAAAGGAAATTTAAACAAATGTACAGACATGTGACTTCTTAATTCACAATACTGTCTATGCAAAAAAAACAAAAATTTTGATGTTGAAATCTAGTTTTTCCTCAGACAATTAAGGAGAAACACACTATGATTCAATTTCTGTGTAACTATGAATTATTAATATTTTCAAGTTTAAAGTACTTTTGAACTGGTGTGAAAGTTTTCTCTAGTGAAGGAATATATGCAGGTTGACAGCTTTAGCCAAAACCTCTGATCAGACTTGGAAAATTACTATTTTTTGATTGCCTGCCAAGATAGAAGGTTTCTTTTTTAATGCAAACATCATGGACCAACATGGCGCATTTACAACTTGCTTTTTTATATCCAGGCTAGTAGTTTGTCAGCAATTGAAATGGTAAATTTATAACATTGAATCACTATGGCACAAATCTTCCTGGGAACATTTCCCTGCAGATCACTCCTTGTTCAATGTACATTTACACAATGATTGTAAAACACGTTTTACAAGACTTCTCTACACTTTCTGAATTTGCATTTACCACAATGTAATTTTAAAGAGAGAAATAGAAATTCAGAAGCTCTCATGATCATAACCTTCATTACTTCAAACCAGTGCAAAGTTTTAGTTGACTAAAAATTCAACAGAACCCTACAGTAGATAACAATAACAATTTCCGTCGGTGACTTTCAGTCATGCAAAAATGTTTCTTAAAGCAATACAAACTTTCTTTGGCAATATGGCAACAGGGAAGAGCAAAATGCTCTTTAAACTCAGGCTGTGTGGATTAAGAGAACTGAAAGTGGTAGAAAAATTGCATGTGTAATTCAAACCCATTGGTCCTTAATTTTGAAAGGTTATTGGAATATATTCTAGAGGTAATACAAAATTTCCGCAAAGCTGTTAATGGGAAAATTGATTTTGGATGAACTGCAAAACTAAATTACTGGATGATCACTGTAAAATGTCAATTTAGACTTCAAAATTAGAACAAGTGATTTGGGCGTGAATATAGGAGTTTGCAGATAACACCAAAATAGGTGGTGCAGTGGACAGTGAAGAAGATTCTCTCAGAGTACAACAGGACCTTGATCAGACGGGCCAGATGGAATTTAATTTAGATAAATCTGAGGTGTTGCATCTTGGTAAGGCAAACCAGAACAGGATTTATACAGTTAATGGTAGGGCCCTGTGGGGTGTAGATGCATAGTTCCTTGAAAGTAGGGTCACAGGTAGACAGGGTGGTGACTGCGGTGTTTGGCTTGCCTTCATTGGTCATAACATTGAGTAAGGAGTTGGGACTTCTTGTTGCAGCTGTAAAGATCATTGGTGAGGCCACTTTAAGAATACTGTGTTCAATTCCGGTTGCCCTTCCATAGGAAGGATGTTGTTAAACTGACAGGGTGTAGAAAAGATCTACAAGGATACTGCTGGGACTGGAGGGTTTGAGCAATAGGGAAAGGCCGAACAGGCTGGGCTTTGTTCCCTTGGACCGTTGGAGACTAAGGGGTGACCTGGGAGAGCTTTATACATTCGTGAAGGGCATGGATAGAGTGAATCGCCAAAGCCATTGTCTGTGTGTGTGTGTGTGTGTGTGTGTGTGTGTGTGTGTGTG